TAGAACCAAAGAGTATGGAACACAGACAGGCGATTTAACGAGAGGGTGACCCAGATAGGCTGTACCATTAATGGATAGGGGTAACCTAGACGGACTTTCCACTCTCCTACCACTCCCCTCTCACACAGTCACATAGTCACTTTAAGATGTTTTTCTTGTTGGTGTTTTTGTTTTTTTGTTTGTTGTGGTTGCACCCGATTCAAGAGCCGGATGGCTCACAGGGCTATACCAAAACAAACTGAACTGATCTCACTCCACTCCCCTCCACTCACTCTCCTGCCTCTCCCCTCTCATCTCACTCCACTCCCCTCCACGCACTCTCCTACCATCTACTTCTCTCTCATCTCACTCTACTCCCCTCCACACACTGTCCTACCACTCCCTTCTCATAGATCCAACACTGCCCATAGACTCAAAACTGCCCATAGACTCAACACTGCCCATAGACTCAAAACTGCCCATAGACTCAACACTGCCCATAGACTCAACACTGCCCCATAGACTCAACACTGCCCCATAGATTCAGCACTGCCCCATAGACTCAACACTAACCATAGACTCAACACTGTCCATAGACCCACCATTGGCCATTGACTTAACGCTGCCCATATACCCAAAATGCACATAGACCCAACAATGCCCGTAGAAACGACACTGCCCAGAGACTCAACACTGTCCAAACATTCAACACTGCCCATTGATTCAACACTGCCCATAGACTCAACACTGCCCATAGACTCAATACTGCCCATAGACCGAACAATGCCCATAGACTCAACACTGCCCATAGACTCAACACTGCCCATAGATCCAACATTGCCCATAGACCCAACATTTCCCGTACTCAACGCTGCAAATAGACTCAATACTGCCCATAGACTCAACACTACCCATAGACCCAACACTACCCATAGACTCAACACTGTCCATAGCCTCAACACTGCAGTTCATAGACTCAACACTGCCCCATAGACTCAACACTGCTCAGACTCAACACTGCCCATCGACTCAATACTGCCCTTAGACTCAACACTGCCCATAGACTCAACACTGCCCCATAGACTCAACACTGCCCATAGACTCAACACTGCCCATAGACTCAACACTGCCCATAGACTCAATACTGCCCTTAGACTCAACACTGCCCATAGACTCAACACTGCCCATAGACTCAACACTGCAGTCCATAGACTCAACACTGCAGTCCATAGACTCAACACTGCAGTCCATAGACTCAACACTGCCCCATAGACTCAACACTGCGGTCCATAGACTCAACACTGCCCATAGACTCAACACTACCCCATAGACTCAACACTGCCCCATAGACTCAACACTGCCTATAGACTCAACACTACCCCATAGACTCAACACTGCCCCATAGACTCAACACTGCACCATAGACTCAACACTGCCCCATAGACTCAATTCTGCCCCATAGACTCAACACTGCCCCATAGACTCAACACTGCACCATAGACTCAACACTGCAGCCCATAGACTTTGGTTCTATTGGGTAAAGTCACGTAGGTGAAAATAAAATAACAAAAATGACTTAAATAAAATTACTTCATCCAATATAACCAAAGAGTATGGATCCTAGCAGTCACGAAAGCTTTAAATCTAGAACTGCCCCATAGACTCAGCACTGCCCTATAGACTCAACACTGCAGTCCATAGACTCAACACTGCAGTCCAAAGACTCAACACTGCCCATAGACTCAACACTGCCCATAGACTCAACACTGCAGTCCATAGACTCAACACTGCCTCATAGACTCAACACTGCCCATAGACTCAACACTGCCCACAGACTCAACACTGCCCATAGACTCAACACTGCAGTCCATAGACTCAACACTGCCTCATAGACTCAACACTGCCCATAGACTCAACACTGCCCCATAGACTCAACACTGCAGTCCATAGACTCAACACTGCCTCATAGACTCAACACTGCCCATAGACTCAACACTGCCCCATAGACTCAACACTGCACCGTAGACTCAACACTGCACCATAGACTCAACACTGCAGTCCATAGACTCAACACTGCCCCATAGACTCAACACTGCCCCATAGACTCAACACTGCCCCATAGACTCAACACTGCCCATAGACTCAACACTGCAGTCCATAGACTCAACACTGCCCCATAGACTCAACACTGCCCCATAGACTCAACACTGCCTCATAGACTCAACACTGCCCATAGACTCCACACTGCCCCATAGACTCAACACTGCCCATAGACTCAACACTGCCCCATAGACTCAACACTGCCCCATAGACTCAACACTGCACCATAGACTCAACACTGCACCATAGACTCAACACTGCCCCATAGATTCAATACTGCAGTACATAGACTCAACATTGCCCCATAGACTCAACACTGCACCATAGACTCAACACTGCAGTCCATAGACTCAACACTGTCCATAGACTCAACACTGCCCCATAGACTCAACAATGCACCTCCGATTAGCAGTCAGCTACGTATGGTGCGAGAGAAGTTAAACGTCCAAACGTGCGATTTCACTTGTAATACGAACTGATTTGTTATTACCGTGAACTAGCAGTAAATGCATTTGGTGATGATGGGGGTATGTCTGGGCACTCAACATCTCCCAATTGCATAACTTGACATGCTGCCTGTTTACAAACTTGAGTGTAAACTAAACTATTTATATTTTACCAGGTAAAGCCCCACTGAGCTATTTAGCTCTTTTTCACAAGCGACCTGGCCACCAGAAATAATATCTCAACGAAGTGGCGGCTTATCATCATCATCGTCATCACGTGAAAATTCATAGCAGTGACGCCGATGGCAAACGTGGAGTGAAACACCAGAGGACCCGGAGGGAAATCCACACGACCACAGGGAGAGCGAGGGGCACGTGGAATCCAAATATACAGCAGCAGCAGCAGCAGGCGTCGTCAGGGTCGGGATCAGAGCCCACGACCTCCTGCGTACCAGGCGAGGTAGTCAACATCTCGTCACACAAATACACAGCAGGCATCGTCAGGGGTGTGATTGAACCCACGACCTCCTGCGTACCAGGCGAGGTAGTCAACATCTCGTCACACAAATATACAGCAGGCATCGTCAGGCTCGGGATTGAACCCACGACCTCCTGTGTACCAGGCGAGGTAGTCAACATCTCCTAGCCACACAAATATACAGCAGCAGGCATCGTCAGGGGTGTGATTGAACCCACGACCTCCTGTGTACCAGGCGAGGTAGTCAACATCTCCTAGCCACACACAAACAGCAGCAGCAGGCATCGTCAGGGGTGTGATGGAACCCACGACCTCCTGTGTACCAGGCGAGGTAGTCAACATCTCCTAGCCACACACAAATATACAGCAGCAGCAGGCATCGTCAGGGGTGTGATTGAACCCACGACCTCCTGTGTACCAGGCGAGGTAGTCAACATCTCCTCGTCACGCCGGGGCAGTGGCTGCATCATCGGCCGCCCTCGTGGTGGTGGTGGAGTGGAGATAAAAAAGAATGACCGACAAAATGTTTTTTAAAGCAAAGCGCCTCGCGGTCGACCTCCAGCTTGACCCCCTCGAGCCGCCCGCCCCCCCTGCACGCTGGCGGCGGGGAGGGGGGGGGCAGAGGTGCCAAGAAGAGTCGGGAAGCGCCACAGGGATGGGGCCACGTGGGCCGCAGTGGTGCACGAGGGGGAATTGGGTGGCCGGCGACGCCCAACGCTCGCGCCCGGCCGTCTTTGTCTCCCCCAGCAGTGGCGATGTTTACTCCACGCCGCCACAACGGGTACTCGTTTGAGTCGACGCGCGGACGCACGCACGCGGGCGCACACACAGACACGGGGATTCACGCACGGACACACACACAGACACACACACACACAGACACACACACAGACACACACACACCGACACACACACAGACACACACAGACACACACACAGACACACACAGACACACACACAGACACACACACAGACACACACACACCGACACACACACAGACACAGACACACACACACACAGACACACACACAGACACACACACACACAGACACACACACACACACACAGACACACACACACAGACACACACACAGACACACACACAGACACACACACACACACACAGACACACACATAGACACACACACACAGACACACACACACACAGACACACACACACACAGACACACACATACACACACACAGACACACACACAGACACACACACAGACACACACGGACGCACACAGACACACACACAGACACACACACACACAGACACACACACAGACACACACACACACAGACACACACACACAGACACACACACACAGACACACAGACACACACACAGACATAGACACAGACACACACACACAGACACACACACACACACAGACACACACACACACAGACACACACACACACAGACACACACACACACAGACACACACACACACAGACACACACACAGACACACACACACAGACACACACACAGACACACACACACATACACACACACAGACACACACACAGACACACACACACAGACACACACACACACACAGACACACACACACAGACACACACACACAGACACACACACACACACACAGACACACACACACACACAGACACACACAGACACACACACACAGACACACACACACACACAGACACACACACACACACAGACACACACACACACAGACACACACAGACACACACACACAGACACACACACACACACAGACACACACACAGACACACACACACAGACACACACACACAGACACACTCACACAGACACACACACAGACATAGACACACACACATACACACACACAGACACACACAGACACAGACACACACAGACACACACACACAGACACACACACACAGACACACACAGACACACACACACAGACACACACACAGACACACACACATATACACACACACACACACGGACGCACCATCTCCACCGAGCGTACCCAGGGCCGGGGTCGGGCGACGTGGAGTCGTCTTGGCCGGCGAGCCACGGGGCGTGGGAACGGAGGGACGCGTGGCGGGCGACTGCCGAGAGAGACGAGGGAGAGGGAGAGAGAGACGAGAGAGGGAGGGAGAGTGAGTGAGTGAGAGTGGTGGGGGAGAGCGCCAGGCAGGGCGTATGTAGCGTTGAGAACTCCACTCGCCGACTTGCTCGCGTGGACACGAAAAAAAATGGGGTGGGTCCGAAAGGAGAGCGGCGGCGGCGGCCGCGGCGGGTCACGTGATCACGCGCGGGCCAATGGGCCGCTTCGGCGAGCTGGGGCGGGGTGGGGGGCACCACGGGAGGCCCCGCCGTGCCTTGCCGGCGTTCAAACGGCGGTGGAGGAACTTCCCTGCGCCGTCGACGGACGATGGATTCTTTTTCACGTCGAATTTTTTTGTTTTTCTCTCTCTTCGACGACAACAACAACAACCACCACCACCACCACCACTCACAGCTGGGAGGGACTGGGAGAGAGAGAGAGAGACGGGGAGAAAGTTCATCATCTGCGGTGTGAAAAAAAAAAAGATAAATTCCCCAGTAATAAAATAAACACACACACACCCCCTCTCTCGTCCTCCCTCAGGGGTTACAAATACGGTGGTGGCGGTGGTGGCGGTGATGGCGGTGGTGGCGGTGATGGCTGTGGCTGCGGCTGTGGTGGCGTTGCCGGTGGCGGTAGCGGTGGTGCCGGTTCATGGTGGTGGCGGTGATGGCGGTGGTGGCGGTGGTGGCGGTGGTGGCGGCACTTGGTGCTAGGTGGTCGTGGCGGTGATGGCGGTGATGGCGGTGATGGCGGTGGTGGTGGCGATGCCGGTGGCGGTAGCGGTGGTGGTGCCGGTTCACGGTGGTGGCGGTGACGGCGGCGGTGCTGGGCGCTGCCGGTGTTGCGGTGTTGCGGTGTTTCCACGGGCGCGACCGCGACTACTCGCCTCTCGGCTCTCTCCGTGCAGGAGGAGGGCGGCGGCCGCCCGTTATTTCATTTCGTAACGAACGCCGTCGCCGCCGTCACGTACAGTGTTCGTGTTCGACGCAAGGGGCCCGTCGGGGCGGTCGCGGGGGCCGGGGGGGGTGGGGCGGGGGGGGGGGGGGGGGCCGAGCGGGCGGCAGGGGGGGGGGGGGCCCGCCAGAAATCCGTCAGACCGTGGCACCGCTCCAAGTCGGGCCGCGTCGATTGGCCGCTCGGGGAATTCGCCTCCCAGCATCGGGCGCGGCGATTGGCCGGATGCCAGCGGGCGGTGGCGCTGGGGAGGGGTGGGTGGGGGGGGTAGGGCATGGCACGGCGTGGCAAGCGTTGGCCGGGTTTCGCGAGAATACAAAAAAAAATCCTAATAAATTAAATAAGACATTTAAAAAAAAAAAATCCACAAAGACCCACACTCTTTGGTTCTATTGGGTAAAGTCACCACGTAGGTAAAAAATAAAATAACAAAAAATCACGACGTTTCGGCCACAACACAAGCGGCCTTCATCAGGTGAAGGGACGAGACTGTCCTCCAGACACTCCAGCGCTGTCCTACCAGACAGTCTCGTCCCTTCACCTGATGAAGGCCGCTTGTGCTGTGGCCGAAATGTCGTGATTTTTTTGTTATTTTATTTTTCACCTACGTGGTGACTTTACCCAATATAACCAAAAAGTGTGGATCCTAGCAGTCACGAAGGGCTTTAAATCTAGAATCCACAAAGACCGCTCCTCCCTCCCTTCCCACCCCTCCAGCCCCTCTCCACCTGAAGCCTTGAGCGACGAGCGAGCGCTTCGGAAGGTGGACACGTTGTGGGGGGGGGGGGGGGGGGGGTGCCGTCCACGCTGGTACAGAGAGGGGCTTGTCCGGCTCCCCCAGCGTCCGAGGAAGACGTGCCCTGCACATCACCGACACGCGCGCGTGTGTGTGTGTGTGTGTGTGTCACGTGGCGTGATCCAGCCGGGGCCGTGCCTTGAGCAGGCCCCTGGACACTGCAAGCACCGCAGAGAAGCCGTCGGTGGCACCTTGCAGCGTCTTCCTCCTCGGTCTGCAACACCGCCAACTTCGCCTGAGCACAGGCGAAGTTGGCGAGGTCATGGCGCTTGTTAGCCAGGCAAGGCACCACCCCGTATACGAAGCTGCTGTTGTAGAAGGGCACCCCCCAGTTTCCTGAAGATGTCCCCCAAAAGGCGGAACATTGGTTTGAGCCGCTGGCAAGCGTAAGTAGCGGTGGGGCAAGATCCTCCCTGGCACCGCAGGAAATGCACCAAGTCTGTGACCCCTGGCGAGATTCGTGAGAGAGTGAGTGAGAGTGAGAGACAGAGAGATAGAGACAGAGAGATAGAGAGTGAGAGAGAGTGAGTGAGTGAGAGAGTGAGTGAGAGAGTGAGAGAGTGAGAGAGTGAGAGAGTGAGTGAGAGAGTGAGTGAGAGAGTGAGTGAGAGAGTGAGAGAGTGAGAGAGTGAGTGAGAGAGAGAGTGAGAGAGAGAGTGAGAGACAGAGAGTGAGTGAGTGAGAGAGTGAGACAGTGAGAGAGTGAGATAGAGACAGTGAGTGAGTGAGAGTGAGAGAGAGTGAGATAGAGAAACAGAGAGTTTTTGAGAGACAGAGATAGAGAGTGAGAGAGAGTGAGAGAGTGAGAGAGTGAGTGAGAGTGAGAGACAGAGAGATAGAGAGTGAGAGAGAGAGAGTGAGTGAGAGAGTGAGTGAGAGAGTGAGAGAGTGAGTGAGAGAGTGAGAGAGTGAGTGAGAGAGTGAGAGAGTGAGAGAGTGAGAGAGTGAGTGAGAGAGAGAGTGAGAGTGAGTGAGAGAGTGAGAGAGAGTGAGTGAGAGACAGAGAGTGAGAGACAGAGAGAGAGAGTGAGTGAGCGAGAGAGTGAGAGAGTGAGAGAGAGTGAGTGAGAGACAGAGAGTGAGTGAGTGAGAGAGTGAGACAGTGAGAGAGTGAGATAGAGACAGTGAGTGAGTGAGAGTGAGAGAGAGTGAGATAGAGAGGCAGAGAGTTTTTGAGAGACAGAGATAGAGAGTGAGATAGAGTGACAGAGTGAGAGAGTGAGACAGTGAGAGAGTGAGATAGAGAGTGAGAGAGACTTTTGACTTTTAAACCACTTTCATTGCTGCCAGCAGCAAAAGCACCAGGGCCGACATCGACACCAAATCACGTCGAGTGCAGCGTCCCGTCACAAACCGCTACCCCCGGCGCGTGCGTGGCAAGCGTGGCAGGCGTGGCAGCGTGGCAGGCTTAGCAGGTACGGCAGGCACGGCAGGCACGGCAGGCACGGCAGGCACGGCAGGCGCAGGATGCCGTTAGCGCCGGTGCACAGGCCTCGACAGGCCCCCCACCACCCACCGTTTCAAGAAGCACACGAGCATCACCGTCACCGTCACCGGTAGGCGTGCTCCAGGCGGCCCCGGAGCAGGCCCCTGAACACCGTCACCGCACGGCGGGTGTCAGCGTCGCCTTGACGCATCTTGTTGCTGGTCTGCCATCGTCGCTCGGGCACAGACCAAGTGTGCAGGGTCGTGGGGCTTATTATTATTATTATTGTTGTTAGCCAGGATGAGGCTCCTGTAAAGAGGCACCTCCAGTCGCCATCATGGCCACCACCACCACCAGCACCACCACCACCACCAGCACCACCACCACCACCACCACCGCCAACACCACTACCACCACCACCACCAGCACCACCACCACCAGCACCACCACCACCACCACTAGCACCACCACCACCACCAGCACCACCAGCACCACCACCGCCAACACCACTACCACCACCACCAGCACCACCAGCACCACCACCAGCACCACTACCACCACCGCCACCACCACCACCACTACCGCCACCGCCACCACCACCGCCACCACCACCACCGCCACCACCACCCACACCAATGCCATCATCACCGCTGCCGCCGTAGTATTGACCAGGGCGGGTTGCTGGATCGGAACCTCGGCGACAACGAGTGGCGATCTGCCTCTGGGCCACCGGTGCAGTTGGTGGTGGTGGTGGGGGCGGTGGTGGTGGCGGTGGTGGTGGCGGTGGTGGTGGCGGTGGTGGCGGTGATGGTGGTAGTGACGGTGGCGGTAGTGACGGTGGTGGTAGTGGTGGCGGTGGTGGTGGTAGTGGTGGTGGTGGCTACACGGAGCGACGCTAGAGGCATCAATGCTTCCATGCTTCCGGCACGATCGCCGCAGTTCTCCGGCATTCCGGCAAACTGCCGGCGGTCCGGTGGCCTCCCCCCCCCCCACCCCCCCCCCCCCCCCCCGCCGCCACCGGGCCTCTCCCCCACGCTGCGGCCGGAATTCCGGAGCGGATCCGGGGCGGAGCGCCAATCCCGCGGCCGCGGCGTGCCGGCGCGTGCCGATGATCTCACCGCGGCGGCTCAAAACACGTCGCCAATCGCGGCAGGCGCGGGCCTGCCGGCCTCGCCCGCACGCAAAAGCAAAGGTCCCCCGTGTAGCCCCCCCCCCCCCCCGCTCGCGGGCGCGCGGTGCACGGGCGCCAAGCGGCGGCCTGTGCCAGGCTAGGTGTACCTCGACGCCGCCGAGTGACGCGTGGGAGGAGGCTCTCGCCGCTGGCAGGAGGAGGTCGCGAAGGACGGGCCCAGGGCCCGCGGGCGGCGACGGCTTCACCGCGCCGGGCTAGGCGACGCGGCACCACGGGGTTGGCCGAGATGACCGGCACACTCGCACGCGCAGAGAGACAAAGGTCCCCCATGTAGCCTTGACGGACGCTTGGGGGCAAGTGGTCTTCGCGAGCGGCGGCGGCAAGCGGCGGCAGCGGCTACGTAGGCCGGCACGGTGGAAGGTTTCTACCTGGATTCTTCTGTGGGCTCAGGCGCTTTACCGTGATTTAACTCTTCACCTTTTTGTCGTTTTCGACGTTTTCTGCGGTCGCCCCCCGCCCGGTTCAAGAGGCGGATGGCTCCCCAGGGCCACACCAAAATACGTGGGGGGAAAAAATAATAATAATAATAATAATTAATGAATGAAAAACACTCCCGGCCGCGCCATCTACTGTACTGATTTAAGGCCGAGTCGACCTAGGGGAGGCCCGGGCCCGGTTCAGATAACCTTCGCCCCGTGTTGGCGGCCGTGAGCAGGGAATCGAACTCCGCCTGTGGCTGCGTTCAGTTCCGCAGCGCGCTAACCGCTGCGCCGCCGCTCCTCACCAGCGACTGACGGTCGCATCGCCACGGCGCCCGTGCCAGGCTAGGTGCGCTCCGATGACGTCACGTGAAGTTTGGGAAGGCTCGCTGGC